AAATAAGCAGGGTGACAGTATACAGCCTTGTCGTACACCTTTCCCTATTTTGAACCAATGGAAGGAACTTCTCAACTTACAATTTTTCTATCCCTTCTCAAGATGAAGTTTGTTTGGTCTACCCAAGCAGGACAACAGAGTAATTCAGCCTCCAAACATTTTATGTTGGGTTTGCAAAGCCAGGCCAAGCACCCATGGACAGGTTCAGCAACATTCCATGGGCAAGACCCCAAAACAAAGGCATTAGGCTATATTTATAATTAAACAAGAAACTACAGGTGTGTAAGAAAATGATTGGTTACCCAGAAAACCTAAAGACAAAGGTAAGTGAATCATACTTCCATCGGGCAACAGCAAAACTTTCTACTAGCTGTAACAGCCAAACTCACCTCCTCTCGCATCTAATTCTAACAATCTAATGCAGTGTTTCTTAAAGTGTGGTCTGAGGACCTCTGGGAGTCCCCCAAGACCCTTTCATGGGTCTGCAGAATTAAATTTATTTGCCAGATATTGAAGATATTTGCAAAAATGTAAAACAATGTCACTCTTCTCATTATTATTTTTATTTGTTAAAAAATATAGGGTTTTTCATGAAAAATATTTATGTTAACATCTAATGGATTTAATATTGTTATTTTTATATGATTCAATAAATTAATATCCTACAAATGGGTCAATTTTAATTTTTAATATGGTAAATATCAATAAATATATCCCATACAACAAAAGCTCTTTTGGGGTCTTCCATAATTTTTAAAAGTGGGAAGGGGTCCTGAGAGCAAAAAGTTTAAGAAACGCTGGTCTAATACATTGAAGAGACGACTTCCTCTTGAAGTCTACCTGCTAGCTGAATATTTGGTACTATAGTTTATACTCTCGCCGTGCTCAGGAGCTCCATACTAAAACACATATTAATATTGAAATTGCTTACATTCTTTCACAGTTAAGGTCTAATTTTTGGCTACCTAATTTTTTGTTACTGCCTCTGAAGCTTCCCTCTCTCGTGGGGGGAGATTGGATGGATAATTTTCTCTTTTCCCTGCAGGAGTTCAGTAAAAGCACCACTGTTTGGTACAAGTTCATGTGCTATACAAGCTGTTTTGTTAACATGAACCGGCGTTCCATTTTAACCATCATTACACTGGAGTCTCCACGGTCAGTACCTATTCCTGGTATTCTTCTTCAAAGTATGGCAGTGCTCAGCTTGGGGAACATGGGAGCCAAAACCTCTAATTTCTCATGCGTGACAAATGGGGTGTTGAGGGTTGAAAAGAGCTGTGCTATGAACCAGGGCTTCTGGATTCTCTGAAAAATAAGTGGTACAGGAGTCCCCAGCAGCTGGGCCACAAGTTTTCAGCTATTAAAGCTTCTACTTATTTTCTGCCTACCCATTTTTTTTCTCCCACAGAGGACAGGTTCTTGGACGACGGTGCTTTGAAGTTGAAATATACCCTAAAGATGAGCTGCCTTGCCCAAAATTCGAGGAAACTTTCACAATTAATACTTCCAGCCAGGAAGAAAAGATCCATCACTTGAAGCAGGAAGAGTTTGAAGAATTGGGTAATTTTAGAATCATGCACTGTTAGGGAGAAGTAGTAGAAATGATCAGAGGGCTGGGGAGGCCACAAATGGGGAGATATGAAAAAAACTGGATGGGAAGGAAGTTCCTTATTTCAGCCTTGGGGCTGCTCTACTTTCCCTCTTTTTTGGAGGTGTGCCCACGTGTAAAGAAAAGGGGGACTTTGATCACGTGGTTGCAGCTGCCATCTTAACTCCCCACCACCACCGCCACAGATGACCCTGGCTATCAGGATCACTTTGGCACCAGCTCCTAACCCAGGTGCTCAGCAGACCTAATCAGGTGGGGCAATTTGCTAAGTCTGACCAAACATTCAGAAAGCCACTAAGTGACAACAAAAAGAGTTTTCCGTATCTCTTCTGCTGCCATGCCTAGAGGTCATCAGAATGTTTGTAGCTCAAGCCCAAATAGAAGCCTTAGCAAAAAAAAAAAAAGAAAGCGGTGCAGAAAGAAGAAGAGAACCAGCGAGGGAAGAACCACTGAGGGTGCTGCTACCCCCACTGCCTCTTCCACTGCTCCTCCTAAATGAGTTGTTGCCTTTTATAGGCCTTGGAGGTCCTGTAGCTTCCCGGCAATCTCTGCTGGCCACTTTCCTCCAGTTCTTGCTGTTCTCCTCCTTCCTGCTCATGAAGGAATAGAGAGAGAGAAAATAAGCGTACACTGCCTTGTCGTGGTGAAGGGGCTTACGTAACTCAGTGAAGCCATGAGCTATACCGTGCAGGGCCACCCAAGACAG